TTTTGCCATTTTACCAAATAACCTTTCTAATATTTAAATTAAATAATTTTACAATACCACTTACCATTTCCAAAAAAATAAATTCCTTCCAAAAAAAATCAATTCCAAACCAATTACCGACAGGTTTTAACATTACGAAATCAAGTTTTGCAAGCGTGCGAAGTCTTTGACAATTGGCTTAAAAGCGAAATCAAAATATACGTCATCATGCATTATTTGATATCATCACTATTTTCACTATTTTCGTATATTTACATGTCGATCAAATTTCACATTTATCACTTTTATTAATTAGTGATGTGAGACAAATCGGCCCATATGTAAATATATTTTTTAATACGCTTAACAAATTACTTAGCTAAAATATTCAATGTATTAAAACATGAAAATTCTGTATTAAATTTATAAATTTTATTACTGATTAGAAATCTATAAAAACATTAAAATGTGTGTAGCTTATCATGACGCACAACTTTTGCTTATTTCGATTAAATTAATAAAGGAAAGTTTAAAGATTTCCGTCGATTTTGTAATTTTAAGTGCTCGGTGACTTTTGATATCCCACTGTACATGTTATAAACACAGCAGATAATTGAATTGACCCCAATGATAATCGAATATTTCTAGTAATATGTTAAATGCATAATAACAATTTTAATAACTCCACTCGTCAACTTAATTTTACTCCGCTTTTTTCAATGAAATAGACAACTATCTATCAAAATAGTAAACAATACTCAATAAATTTATTTATTTTTTTTAATTTTTAGCCCTTATCTTTGTAGAAGAAATGTTTAATTCAACAAAAGGAGTAGATGCACCCGTTTTTCATTTATATCCACAAAAAAAAAATCTTTTAAATTCAAACCAATGAGCTAATACGTTCGAACTAACATATGGATAGAAGTCGAGTACTGGACCGGTAAGTTTCAATATTCTTCAAGATAATAAAGTTGCATGCGCGCACTCGTAACTAGGAATTTTAGCCACCGCAGCATCTCGGGCGAATTAATTAGTCGGACCGTAAGAGTGCGCTGGGTACATTCAATACTTTTTAAACCTAAATTCTTCTAATTCCAAATTTCTCAAAATATTCCAAATAATTGCCACTTTTGATGAATAATTGGCTTTCCCCCCAATTTTATTTTATTTTCCTTTTTAAGAAGAAATTCGAATTTTGGATTTTTGTGTAATCTATTTTTCAAAACAAAGAACCGTTTAATTTGTCACATGATTAAGGTTAATTACCAAAAAAGGTTTTCATTCTTGCTGAACAATATGATATAAAAACAACTTTATCTTATGTACATGTCGGTTTGTTTGCGGCATATTAACTTTGGACACAATACCTCCTATAATTAAATTAATCTATATCGAGTGTCGCACCGAAAAATAATAACGAAATTTCGTGTTAATCCTTTCCGCAATTCTTTGTTATCCATCTCCTATCTCAAAGTCTTACGGAACAATTTGTCTCACGAATAACCTTTTCAGTTACTAACTACATATGAACATTTTCTCGGATAACAATAATATTAATCTTTAAAAATTATAAAATGAATACCACACACTGTTAGTTAAATAAAATTCATCTTCTAATTATATACGTGTATATTTCTAAGCTCAAATTTCTAATCCCAATTATTAGTGTAAAAATGGCTAATAATCGAAGAGAATTTAGACCAAAAGAGCCTTATACTCACCGTTTAAGTAAAATTCTTGAAGAATATCCTGACGGTTCCCAAATTCTTCGTGAAATCCTTCAAAATTCCGATGATGCGGGAAGCACTGAGCAAATTTTCATTTTGGATCACAATACTTATCCTTCGAATAACTTGATCCCGCCAGATATTGTTAATTCCGGTTTGAACCTTGATAGATATCAAGGTCCTGCATTATTAGCACAAAATAATACTATTTTTGATGAGAGAGATTATAAATCCCTGTTAAAATTGGCCGATAGTGAAAAATACGATCAATTCAACAAGATTGGGGGTATGTTTCATTTTATAAGTTTTTTTTACGATTTATCGATTTCACGAATTCTAAATTCTAATGTACATGTATTTTTTTATTTATTATTATAGTGATGGGTGTAGGTTTCAATTCAATCTATCATATTACCGATTCCCCTTCTTTCATTACCGGTGATAAATACGTTATTCTCGATCCACATGAACGTTATTTTCGAGGTGGTGTCATAATTGACGTCGACGAGAAAATGTTTAAAGAATACCCTAATCAGTTTGCTCCTTTTAGAATTCCGTGTGACAAACATTTTAATGGCACTTTGTTTCGTTATCCACTCCGTACTGAAGTAGATTCCGCCGACTCGGAAATTTCTACCAGAATTTATAAACCTGACGCAATCTTGGAAATGTTTGATAAATTTTACGAAAATGAAAGCATTAATAGCTTATTATTTATAAAATATATTGAACGTATTTCCTTTTATGAATTAAAAAAAGGTGCTACCGAACTTGAATTATTATATAAAATTCAATTGGAAGGTGCCGATGAAGTTCGAGAAAAACGTCGGTTGATAGCAAAAAATATTGTACCAATGATGAATTCATTAAAATCAGGTGTGCTGGAAGGAAATAATCAATTAGAAACGTCTTTTATTTTAACTTTCTGTCGTCAAAAAGGAGATTCCAAAGAGAATAAAAGTTTGTGGTTAATCTTGAATTATCTTGATGACTTGCTCGAAACCGAAAAATATTTTCAAAGAGAGTATAAAAGAAGCATTGGAGATTACAAGTTCGTCCCTAACGTTGGTTTAGCCGTTCCCATCAATGATTTGATGAATGCTGGAAGTTTGTTTTGCTTTTTACCTCTTCCCATTTCTACTCCTTTTCCCGTTTCGGTGCATGGATATTTCGCGGTATGAATTAATGAACTTTGATATTTTGATCCTTTTTTTTTTTTTTTAAAAAAATGTTAACATTTTTTATTTTGTATACAGGTTAGCACTAATCGTCGTTCTTTATGGGAGGCCGCAGAAAACGAAGATCTGGTAATGATCCTGCATTTAATTTTTTTTTTTTTTTTTAAAGTGTAATAAAAAGCAGTAAATTAACTAATAAATGCTGAATATTAAATTATAGGCGGCTGGGTCATTGGCACGCCTGAAAGTTTCGTGGAATCATTATTTATTTGAAAAAGTCCTACCAAAAGCTTGGGTGAGATTCCTTCGTAAAATTCCGCTTACGATTCCCAATATTTCACCAAATGATGTATATAAATTCTGGTCAATACTTAAAGAAGGAACATCACGTAGCTTAAGTACTTTTTACAAAGATCTATTACAAAATGTAATTAATAATATTAGCATTGAGGATCGCGTATTCAAAGGACCTTCATCAAAGATTGAAATCGGAACAGAATTTAGTGCTACAGATGATGCCACCCAATATCAAGAATCCGAATTTCATTGGTTATCCCTTTTCGATGGATATTTTGAAGAAGAGAATCTATTTGATATTAAATTGACTAGAATAATTGAGAAGACAGGATTTCCTGTGATATAAACGCCTTATCCCATTCTTGATGCCTTAAAAGAATCTAATCATGGAGATTTCCCTAAATTCTTTTCTCCTGCCATTATTCGTAAATATTTAAATCAAAATCGTAACAGATGGAACACAGATATAATCCCAAGAGACGAAGTCTTACAATTATTTGAATATATTTTAAAGGATAAACAATTTGACGAATTGGAAGGTTTTGAGATGATTCCTCTTGCGGATGTTACGCTTGGTACTTTAACACAGCATGGCAATTCTTACGTTTATATTTACCCAAAAGATCACTTTGATAATCATATAAATGATGAGCTCAACACCTTTAAAAATCAATTGAACAAATTCATTGACAAATCGATTCGTTACGATCTTCATAAAGCTTTGTGCGAGTATGCACAAGAATGGAATCTAAACATTAAAATCCTAGACGAATATGCTGTCGTCGATATGATTAAATTCTCTCTGAATTCTGAAAATGCAGATTCTGAAGAGATACCAATATTAGATCATTATGAGTGGATTTGCGATTTGTGGAGTAATCTGAGATATAGAAAATGGGATCTCGAAAAGTTCGAAAACCTTCATTTAATCCCAACAAGTCGCTCTACTCTTAGACAACTAAATACTCCGAAAAGCGTATTTTCTAATCAAATAAACGATAATATTTTAAAGTCCATTTTCGAAAAATTTGGTGCCGTTTTTGTGGACAGTAGATTTGGCGAAATGGATAGATGGGGGAGGTAAATACTTGAATTTGTAGCCGCTTTTCATATGATGTTTTAAATAAGCTAATTTAATTTTTTTTTTTCTCTAGAGCATCTCAATATACTATTAAACCTGATGATGTTTTATCAGTTCTAAAATCTTTTCGAGCCGAAACCTCGTACCCAAAAAATTTGAATCATAGGTTAGAACCTCCTGAAGCATCACAGCTCGTTGATTATTTATCTAATCATTTACGCCTCGCTAATGAAGACGAAGTACCAAACCTTATTGAAGTCATTAAACATCTACCGATTTTTACCGAAGTCGATAATACTTCTCCAATTTCATTATTACCTGGAAATACAAATTGGTTCCTACTTCCTCAGAATGAAGAAAGTTCGTATGGAAAAATTATTTATCCAAGTAATCAAGGAAAGTTTCTTGATTCAAGTTCACAAAATTTAAGATATATACTGGAAAATACCATTAAGATTCCTCGATTAGTTTCACTTGACTATTGGCGAAGTTATGTAATGCCATTTCTCGAATCACAACCACCAGAAGACAAAGGTATTGTAATACACAGACTTTTTGAAAGGTTGCAAAGTTTGCTTGATCATGATCCAAGTTTGAAAGATTCTCTTGGAGGAATTTCTTTCGTGCCTGTTGGCACATTTAGAATGGCTTGGCAAAGACAAACGTCTTTTGACATGGACCTAAGATTAGTTAAACCAAAAGAACTATTTGATCCAGAATCACTTGTGTTCGAGCAAATATTTTTTGAGGACGAGCAAGCCTTTCCCGTTAACAGATTTCGTATTTCTCGAAACTTATTCCTTTCAAATTTGAAATCATTGGGAATGAAATCAATTCTTTTTCCAGATGATGTAATCAATCGTATTAATACTATAGTAGCACGAAAGTCCCAGGGTTCATTTCACACCAAAGCATTCGACTTTTTTAAATACATCGATGAAAAATGGGAATTGATTGAAAATAAAAATCATGAATTCATGAATACTATTCTAAATAAAGAATGGATTCCTACTGTTGACGGATCTGGGAATCAAATCTTTTCGAAACCTCAAGATTGTTATTATAAAGAATATGAATACCTAGTTTGCTTGGTCGCACCAATACTGAATTATAATGTTAAAAATGATAACTTTTTAAGGCACTTAAGATGGCAAACTTATCCAGAAGTTAGAAAGGTTCTAGAGCAATTAGAATCATGTCATGTTCGTGTATCTAGTGGGCAATCACCTGAGAATTTGAAAGCAATCTGTAACGCGATATACGAATATATGAATAATGCTTTTCAAAATGATAAAGAAGCATTTGAAATTATAAAGAATGATTTGGAAAACAAACCTTGGATTTTGCATAATGATACATTTTATTCGGCTGATAAATTTGTCTTTCGTCTTCCAACTGAATTTGAGGATAATAATTCTTTAATTGTAGAACTTCCTATAGGATACATAAGTGATTTTAGACCTTTATTTGAAGCAATGGGAGTTCGAAATGAAATTGGAGTCAAGGAGTTGATTTTAATTATAAACAATATGGTGGAAGGAAATGAGGAAAGAAGGTTATCAGATGACGAAATAAACCATGTCGTTCAGATTCTTAACCGAATTTCTCAAATCCAAAAGGAAATTAGAAATGGGGAAAATGATCCGGATGATTTGAGTGGACTATTAGTGCCAAGCACTGATAATATGCTTGTTAATCTAGATAGAATTCAATTTAATGACATTGGAGAAAGAATTAGCCAACATGAGAAAAGTCAACACATAATTGCTCATCAATTCGTAAGCCGGTATATTGCTGATGAACTAGGAATTCCAACTTTAACAGGAACAATATTTGGTAAATATGATAGGATCAAATATCTCTCATTTTGCTCATTTTGTATAACTAAACAATTAATCAATCGATAGGTGGTTGGGAGACATTTGAGCAAGATGAATTATTAACTACCCGAATAAAAAATATTATTAAGGTAACGTTTAAATTCAAACACTTTATTTATCCACATTTAGATTTAATTTTGTAAAATTTTTTTTTAAACTGTATGAACATAATTAGGATTATTCATTAAGTCAATTTTTTAAAGAATTTCTTCAAGTAAGTAATGAACCTACCGCAGTGTTGGCAAATGACCTTGAAATGACCTTAAATGACCTCAAATGACATCATTTTATTATAAATTTCAAGTCAAAATGACCAAAGGTCATTTAAAAAATAGTAAATGACCTTATAATTTGCCATCATTGACCTACCGTTACTATATTTTTGTTTTGTTTCTTTCAAAACAAAAAAATTTCTGAATAATTTATTCTCTCTAATGTAGAATGCAGATGATGCTAAAGCCACAAAGTTTTCAATAATAGTGGATGAAAGACCGAAATTCCAGCTGGATTCATCTAGAATGTCTTTACTTACAAAAGAAATGGATGATTGGCAAGGTCCTGCGATTTGGATACATAATGATGCCGTATTTTCTGATGATGATTTTAGGGCTTTGACCAAACTTGGAATTGGAGGAAAATCTCGTGACGATGATGAAAATGAAACTAGAATAGGAAGATTTGGAGTAGGATTCAATTGTGCTTATCATCTTACAGATTTACCAAGCATCGTAAGTAGAGAATATATCATATTCCTTGATCCAAATGAAAAATTTCTTCCAGCACAAGGACGCCCACCTAAAAGACAAAAAGGCTTTAAAATTAATTTTATGGAGACGAGATTTAAGGAGAGTTTCCCGGATCAATGCTATCCTTATGAAGCTTTAAATTGCAATTTTAATGAAAGTTTCAACGGAACATTGTTTAGGCTTCCACTTAGAACTGAATCATTAGCGAATGAGAGTAAAATTACGAACCAAGTCGTTGAAATTGAAGAAATCTTGAAATTACTTAATGGCATTCAGGGTAATAAAGAAATGCTCTTTTTAAGAAATATAGATTCATGTTGTTTACGTCACATAAATGATCAAGAACAAGTTCCTCAACCGATATGGAAAGCAGGAATTAAGATGTCGGATGATCATCGCGATATTCGTAAAAACGAAAGTGTTACGAACAATATAAAAACATATCAACTAGATATTGAAATTGAGATCAATGATATACAAAACAGTAAAATCTCAGAAATATGGATTTTATGTATAGGAGGGCATGAGAGAATTCAATCAAAAGAACTTGAAAAATTTTCGAGGAAAAAACATATTAAGGTAAACGAATTATTTCACTAATTAATTTAATAATTATTATTACGTTAATTAATTATATTTAACAAAGCCAAGGGGAGGTATTGCTTCATTACTTGCTCGATCTGATACAAAATCTTTGGATGAATTAAAAGTTGAATCGGTAAATTTCATTGTTACTTTTATAATCGAATCGTTATTCAACGTAAATATAAATATTAATTTTTTTTGAAATATAGTTTCCAAATCCTCCTGAAATCAAAGGCGAAATCTTTTCATACTTACCCTTGTCAATAAGTACCAACTTGGGCGTTCATTTAAATGGAAACTTTTTTTTGTCTAGTTCCAGAAACAATGTTCTACAGTTTGAAAATGACGTTGATCGTGAAGATTCAAAATGGAATCATTATATTCTGTATGATGTCTTGCCCGATTTACATGTTAAATTATTTGAAAACATTGTGAAACTTGAAGAACAACGCAAGAAAAATGAAACAAATTTCATTCCACACACCTTAAATAATTTTTGGCCGATTAAGAATGATTCATCTATGGGCTTGTACAAAAATTATGGATTAAATGTTATTAAAAAATTAGGTCAAGGTGAACATAAATTTTTCTGGACCGAATTCGATGGTGGTCAATTCATTTCGTTACAAGAAGCTAAAATTCTTGAGGAAGAAAAGACGGTAATGGCAGATATATTATCCCGTTTAGAATTTCTAATTGTGAAACTTGATAAGGTCAAGCTTGATCAACTTAAGGAGGCTGGTTCTCAGATTTCAAATTTCAATTACAAACCTATCAGCGGAAGCTTAATTTGCGAAGAATTACAAGAAAAGAGATTTATGGTTTCTTTTGATATTTTCCATCAAAATCATGATTTATTATTCGAATTGCTTAATTATATTCTTCAAGATAAAAGTTCTTTTGAACAACTTACTGAATTACAATTAGTTCCATTGAGCGATGGTTCTGTTAAATGTTTTGGTGAAGTTTATTATCTCGGAGAAAAACAACATCTAGAGTTATTTCCAAAAAGCAAATCTAAATTTGTTTCCACTGAACTGCCAGAGAATCTAAAGGAAATTTTTTCGGATAGCATATTTTCTGAAACTACAAATATTAAAAAGGTTGATACATCTGCTATTTTAGATCTTTTAAAACATGAAATACCTATGGCAAAAGAAACGAAATTGAGACCCAATGGTATACCAAATGAAATGTGGCTTGAAAAAATTTGGTCAAAATTTATTGAAGATGCAGAAAACTTAGAATTTGCCATCCTCTCTAAATTTCCTCTATTGCCAGTGATTGAACCTCCCAAACTTGTTCGACCTGATACAAGTAATCCACTTTTATATGAAAAGGATCATGATTTATATCCGATATTAGTAAAGCTACAAGTACGTTTTACTAATATGGAATTTTTCAAAAGTACTAATAAAGACCTTAAAAAATGTGTTGTGAAATGTACTCCTATAAATATTATTAATTCCTTGGGACGAGCTTGTTCTTCAAATATGAAGGAAATGTTTGAAAAACTATCAATTGATGATTACATAAAGGTTAGAAAATTTATTAAAGATGAGATTGTAAAATTAACAGGCAAGTGAAGAATTATAAAATATTTTATTTTAATAGTCTCGTGTGTGAAATTAATTTTAAATATATTTTGTCTTAATAGAGCATGGAAAAAGCAACGAAGCTTTTATGAAAACTCTTAAATCATTACCAATATGGCCAACACATTCTTCACAAGACAAGTTCATTGATGCCACAACTGGAACCCTCCTTCCATACTCGCTTCCATTTTTTTCCTTTTGTGAAGAAACCGTGTTCTATAAATGCAACGATGAATCTGATTTTGAGGCACTTGCTAAATTAAAGGCTAAGACTATTACTGAATTTGAGTACGTTAAAGACCATCTATTAAAACCACAATTTACCATCTTTTCAAAACCCACTCAAAAGTACATAATATTTTTGAAGAAAATTTTATCTCTACAAAATCAAGAAATTGAGGAATATATCAAAGATAAACGAATGGTACCTAATAATTCGCTTAGCGCTTTCGTGCTTGCTAGCGTATTATATGATTCGAGTGTTATTTTATTTCTCAATACTTTTTCAGATAGAAACAAATTTTTACCATCAGAATTACAAAATGACTCTGTTTGTTTAGAAGCTCTTGGAAGAATTGGTTTAAAGCGCCAAGTGAATTCTGTTACATATATTGAATGTGCAGAAGACATTCTGTTACAGTTTAAAGCTAAATTGCCAGTAAATGATATTAAAGGTCGAGCAAAATATTTAGTACAGTATTTATACGAACATGCCAACACCTTGAATTTCAACGAAGAACAATGGAACAAAATTCTTGAAACGGAATTTGTTCCATCAGAAATGAATCTTTCTCCATTTTATCATAAACCAATAAAGACTTCAGGGTTTGAACATTTTAAAGCACTTTGTTCACAAAAATATATGAAAGCATGTTGGACTAAATATGCATTATTTGATAAGTCTGTTGAGCCTACTACTCTTTTCAACGAAGTTATAAAAAATAATAGGGGTTATAAAATCGGAGTTCCCTCTACAGATAATGTTATTGCACATTGGATTTTCGTTGTTGACAATATTAACAATATAGAAACTTGGAGAACTTCTAAGGAACAAGTGAAAAGTGTAATCAAAGAAATTTATAAAACAATGAACGAACTTTTGCAAACCGAAGGTAACGTGAGAGATGAGCAAATAAACATGATTAGAGATCAAAAATTATTTTTGAATGATGATGATCCGTTTTATAAGAACAATTGGGTACAAGCAAGTTCGCTTAAATTTATTTCACAAGACAACGTTAATGAATTTTTAATGCCTTATAAAAATTTGTTGAAGCGCGCTGGAGCCACTGAATCAAGTGAAAAAATCGATCCAAAAGGTTTATTACTAAAGAGACTTTTAAGTGATGTATATCATGATGTCATTTTTATTAACAAAGAGAAAAAAAAGATTGGTAGTGCAAACAGATATGTGCTTTCTGGTAATTTCAAATTATTTTTTATGCTTTTAAGGGTTATTTCCTTTCATTTCCCTTTATTAAATTCATTTAATTTCTTTTTTTTCAATAGCCTTTTCAAAATATTTTGAAAACATGTTCTGTCATGGATATACTGAATCAACAAACAACAAAATCGAGATCACAATAGATGATGATGCAGATGCATTCCAAGAATTTCTACTATGGCTAAATGGGCAGGATCAAAAGTCTTCAAGTAAACAAGCCGTACCTCCAAATCGTCAAAGATATGAAAATCTTTCAAGAATAGCGGAAAAATATGATATTGAACTACTCAAAGATTTAGCAGAAAATGCTATTCGTGTTAATCGCTTTTAAAACAGAGTTTATTTATCGTGTACTCTTTACTTAGTTCAAAATGGGTTGATTATAATATTCATTTGAATAAAATTATAATTATATGTATCCATCTTATAAAGTTTTAGTTTAAAATTTTACTTAATTGTAACATAATAACAATTGACGTTAATAAATGTATCGGTCCATATAGAGAGCAAGCCGTTTTTTTTTATATTGTTAAATAAAAATCTTACCTTCCTTAATTTATAATGAAAACGCTAAGTAATGTGTTACGGAACTACTCCAAAATTAATATTTCAATTTTGGGCAATCCAATTTGAAATTTCAATGTTCTGCCCAAATAAATTATGTAATACATATCAAAAATACTAAAAAGACCAGTGTCACAATTTCTTTTTTTAGAGGTACCGGGGGGGGGAGGACAAAAGTATTGCACGCTTTTATTTTTTCAATAATTTTTTATTTTTTACAGAAACATACAATTTTTTTTTTATTT